GTTTCCACTTATTCTCTGAAAAGTGTGACAGATGTCATTGCTCACTTTTCTCCAACTTTATTTTGAAGGTTTAAAGGAACTGTCACAAATGAGAAACGTGCATTTTAGTGCAGCAATATAAACACATCAAAGGAAAACAGCTGTGGCCTTCTTTATTTTCAAAATCATACATTTAAAATGAACTTTTTAAAGTGCACAACAGTTTCAAGGTTTTCTGCCCAAAATATTTGTTTTACTAACATGCATATCATATATGCTAGTAAAACTAATGTGTGTATATATACTAGTACTACGTGCACGTATATACGCACATAATGTACTTTATGCACGGTAAATACGTAGCGACGGCAGACTCATACCTTGGGCTAACACGACTCCAGTGTGGTCATGTGGGAAGTCCGCAGTCTGTCAACAGCGAGCGCGGCGTCTTCGTTAATGAAGCGGATGGTTACGCTCATGCAGGGCTGCGTATCTCTGCTCGTCCACAGGTCAGCAGCCAAGGCTTAATGCACGACACTGCAAACATCCTGCTCTACTTTGGCCGCCATGCGTCGTATAAGCGAGGCAACTCGACTTTACTGAAGTGCTTACGACCGGGCATAACGTACCTCGGATCAAGGACTTTGACGAGGTCACGAAAGCTGTCCTTCTCAACTACATAAACAGGGCCATGCCTTTACAAATGCAACGCGAGACGGCGCCTGTGATTTGTTTATGGCGCTGGGACGTTTTCTCATAAGGGCCTCGTGTGAAAGGCTGCTGCATCTTCAGCTGGTATAGTTTTTCTTTCCCAACTTGCTCCCGTCGTTCCACAGCTTGGTTTAGCTCGGATTCTCTGGATTCTCCTTCGTGGGCCTTCTGTAGGTGATACAAGAGATTTGTTGTGTTGCCATCGGGCGCGGGAATAGTTTTATAGCATAGCTTACAAATGGGCGTCTTCTGCTCCGTGTTGGTGCTGTTGAACCCAACAAGTAACCAAATCACAGACGTACCCCGTTTTGGTAAAAGTGCTTCTTCTTGGGCTGCCTGTGCAGCCGTCTCTGCCTGGTGCATGTCCGGGCATGAAGCACGTAAAGCAGCACCATGTCGCAAAACCACAAGACGGCGTTTCTTCATTTTTTTTAATACTTTATTTTCTCTTGCATAAAGTTAGAGAATGCATAGTGACAAGACCACACTAATAAATTTGCCACAGGCTATTTAATGATATATTTTATGTAATAGTTTATAAAATTAGGTTAGAAACGATAGAAGACAAATGGCACGATAGACACTTTTCTGTCGTCCACACGGTAGATATATGTGGTCATGTCGCCCAGCACTAATCCACAACATGCAGATTATGGAATCAAAATCACTCAATTCGTATAAATTCCCATCTCTACTCAGCAGACTTGTAATCGCTTCACAACAGCGAATGAAAGAGCGTTAAATGAGGTGAAGTTTCCTCACGTTGCAATAAACTGTGTGCACACTGGGGTCAAACTGAGTGTAGGAGCTACACAAACGCACATGCATCCTCTGTGCTGTGTGCACATTCGGGATCGTGCACTCTCACATGCTTTGAACCATAAAACAACCACCTGCATGACTCTGCCAGGTGCTTCCTGCACACTCAAACACATCAACTGTTTTCCATCATGAGGAGACTGGATCCACCAATGACTGTCGCTAAAATTCAGTGGCTGAAAATAAACAGGGGGGCGGTAGGCGAGGAAATCCACCGGCATGCCGCCATCATGGAAGCTCTGAATTCAAGTGTTGGAGAGTGGATCAACAATCAGTCGATGCAAACAAGGACGCGCCTTTCAGGGCTGCGCTCAGGGGTCAAGGGTCATTTAAGTTTTTTTAGTTTGTTTTCTCGTTAACCAAGTGAGGTGACAGGTAGGATCTACAGCCCTGCTGCTCTGCTGAAAGCCCAACGTTCCTGTCAGCTGCACTGAAGCTTTCTTAGTTTCCTGTTCGAGTTTCCCGTCTCGGTGGACGGACACATCCTGTTAGTTTGGTCTGGAACGAAAGCACGAGCTAACTCAGTTTGTGACCGCTCGAGCCTCACGCCTGCATGCACACCTGCAGACAAAAGATCCAAACAGGCCCTAAAAGCCTGTCTCTAAACTTCAGATCCAATGGTTTTATGCTAGAATCAGCTTTATCCCCAGGAGGAAGGACAGAAACCACAATGCGACTGTTGGGATAGATTTGTGGCCCCACAACGTGAGTAATTACGCCCACACACACAAACACACACACACTTATATGGCTGGCAGGCAGCAGGAAGTCCTGGGTGAGGAACTCCCCCTCCGGAGAGGTGAAAGAGTTCAGACACTAAACAGCGCACTGCTCCGAGTCCCCACGCTTTCAACCTTTCACCCACTGTGAAACCCAACAGGTGCCTGAAGAAAACGAGGTCTGACGAGAGGCTGAAATGGCCGCGCTCGCTGTGAGGAGCAGACATGTTTGGAAAGAGTGAATCTGACGGGTGGAAGGCGATGAGGGGGGTCAGCCAGCCGTCAGACCTGGATTAGTTTGTGCTGCTGATGTGTCCAATTAAGCTCATCAGAAGCAGGAGAAACACTCCACCTCATACGTGTCGTTCTCTCATTTAACGATTTTAGTTTCTGGCCTCAGCTCTCTGCATCTTCACCTCATGCTGTGGCACAAAGACCCAACAACAGTATATAGCACTGCCTATAGTAACAGCACTATAAGCCGTGCTCGGCGACGGCGCTCGGCATCGCGGCCGTCATCAGCGGTGACGTACAGAATAACACTGTCTCCTGCTGCCTACACGACACCAGAACCGCACAGGGGGAAAATCTGTCACCACAAAGACTAAAGCTATGCAAATTTTACATGATGGAAACTCCCACAGAGAAACAGAACAAACGGCACAACTTCTCAGAGTTACTATGTTTCGACATCACACGGGAGACGACAGCGACGTGAGAAGTGCACATGACTGAAACCCAAAGCTGCCATCGCCACAGAGGCCGGCAGCTGAAGCCAACAGGCTGGACGAGAACCTCAGACACGCTTCAACATTTTATTTATACAAATCACAACAACAGTCGCCTCAAGGCGCTTTACATAGGGTAGACCCTACAATAACACATACAGAGAAACCCAACAGTCACATGACCCCCTATGAGCAGCACTTTGGCGACAATGGGAAGGAAAAACTCCCTTTTAACAGGAAGAAAGCTCCGGGTCAGGCTCAGGGAGGGGCGGGGGGAGGAAGACAGGATAAAGACATGCTGTGGAAGAGAGACAGAGGTTATATTTGCCTGGATGGAGCTGGGACCACTTTCATCCACCAGGTTTCGCCCCCTGGTGGATGTTGAAGCAGGTGTAAGGCATCGTTCATGCTGTCTGTGGGAGAACAGACCACTCCTGGTTAACACTGGAGACGGTAACGTTTCTGCACCTGCTGACCGATTCTCCGTCTAAAACTACACGTAACCACGGCTGCGTTAGCTCCTTCCTGCTTCGCCCTCGCTGCATATCTTTAACGTTTTCCAGGTCGTGTGTTTGAGCTCCGAGAAACAGAAACAGAGGGAAGTGAGAAAGAATCCGAGGAGCTGAGGAAGGATGGAGGGCAGCGCGAGGGGCCCACCGAAAGGGACAAGAGGGGGGGGCTTCACATCAAAGTTGTGTCTGGTGGCTGCAGATTAAGGAGCGCATTGCAAGAGGGGATTGTTCACTCCCAAAGAGTGTGTGTGTGTGTGTGTGTGTGTGTGTGTGTGTGTGTGTGTGGGAGGGGTCAGCTCCTCAGGGTCTCTCTCTAACTCTTTGGGGGCAGCATTCCTCATCTGTCATGTACTTTATGGCCCCTTCCAGCTCAGATGGAGCCTTTAGACTTCATACATTGTGTGCTTCGGCTCCTATTGTACAGAACGAAGGTATGCGGCTCCTCCAGCAGAGCCACGAAGAACACAAACTGCCACGAGCTCCCACTTTGAACTGTACACCAGGACTCCTCACAGAACTGCAGCTCTTCTGTCAGAACATCGAGCTACAAATAAACGGCTCGATGTTTAACATCAAAACCCCAGACTCTGAAAACAGAGCGCTCTGAGCCTCTGCTATCCACGCATGCACATGTCGATCATGCACGGCGCTCGACTGTGGACGAGCCAAAGCTTCAGTGCTTCTTGCTGCAGCAGCCACAGAGTGAAACCTGTGCTTTAACTTAGCTTAGATGCACCGAACACTTAGAGAAACTTCAACAAAACCAAGAGTTCTAAGACTGAGCTTTCCAGAGCTTCAATCTCCAGATATCCTTATTGGATAAGAAAGCACCAATCCAACCTTTTCCGGCTCTGATGATCCTGGCTTTACATTTCTGCTGATACTGAGTGAGAGAAATGGTGGAAATATGGACCCTTTACATTATCAGCCCCAAGGGCACATTTATGTGATAAACACCTGTAAAGGTCGCAGTGGACTTTTACTGTGGGCCTTTTCTGAAGGGAACGCCTCCTCTCATGAGAAAGACAATGTGCAGACATCATCTCTACATCAGAGTCCTGCCTCAGGTGGAGAACACCATGCAACACGGGACTGTGGCGATAAGCAGACGCCGGACGCAGCGGTGAGGGTGATAAACACACACTGACCTCATTATTAGAGACCGGGCTCAGGGCGAACATCCATCGCTGGAGCAGCAGACACGTGACAGGAAATGAGGAGGCGAGCTTCACAGTGACGGTGCCTTTGCTCTGCTGTCAGAGGTGAATGTTTCACGCTTGAGCTGCAGGACTGTTTATCTTTCTAGCACTGAGCTTCATGCAGCTGAAGCACCAAAACCTGCAGTTCCACGGGTGTCCAGCAGAGGCTGCGGCGAGTCAGTCCCCATAGACTCACATGTTAAAACAGCAGAAATAAACATGTTTACAACCTGATACACAAACTGCTAGATTCTTTCCGCCTCTATAACACCTGCGCACATGTTTTTATAATTCACCTGGATTCAAGTTTGCATGGTTGGGGGCGTGGCTTCTCTCACCGACACGTGCAGGGTGACACGGGGAGCTGTAGCTGCTAGCTGTGCGCTAGCCTTCACCTCAGTTAACTGGAGTCAATGAGCTGAACCTCTGGACTGTGTTTGTACTGTTGGAGCATTTTGATCAAAGTTTTTCCATGTTGGTGAAATTCTGGGATTTTATTTTAATATTGCTGACGAGCAGGAAAAATGAAAATAAATATTATTGTGCACAATTTGCAAAAAAACAGCATTAAAATAAATGATTTCCAACAGTGCAGTTTGAGTTCGGAGTGTCTCAGGAACTACACAGAGCGGCACAAAGTCAAACAGGAAACCAGCTTTTAAGGCCCTGTAATGAAAAAACTACGTTTCCACGAAAAATGACGTCACTTTTGGTTTTTGCAGGTAACGTGCGATAGTTCGCGCTGACGTTTATTCCAGCATAGGAAGTGCTATGAATAACTGATCGCATGTTTCTGGATTATAATGTTTTTGTTCTTGCCAGCGCTTTTTACCCGATTTTTGCAAGAAGCCATTTGTGGAAGGAAACTGTGACCGCGGACAAGCTGAACGCATGTTATGCAAGTACGACTCCTCTGGTTTCATAAGCAAAAAAAACAAAAATGATTGCGCTAGGTTACGTCTTTGTAATTCTACTGGAATTTAAAAATAGTTGCACAAATGGGAGCGTGCCCGCTCCGATGGGCTTCCTAAAACACTTAAATATCATTTCAGCATCATCTTACGACGGGACTCTCCTGAAGGTCTTCGGGATATTTCGTGGCGGCTTCTGTGTCTGCCGATGCCGACTTCCGCACGCAGAGAAATCCACGTTTTTTATCATAAAAAATGTTATTAAAAGGAAAAGTAAATTAAAACGATTAGAGAATATTTTCTATTTGCTCTATAAAAACATGGAATTCTTTGGAGTTCCACAGAAAAATCTGGGTGGCCTGCATCTGTGTGACACTCCCGCCTGATCACCAAGCTAACCACGTCCTGTGCCTCCAAAACGCAGACGGCCTTAAATGTGACAAAATGTTCACAAACTGATGGTGACACCTTGGCAACCACGTCCATCTTTTGTATACAGTCTATGGTTTATGCTCACACTTCATTTGTTGAAAATAAAAGTCACCATGCCTCAGATGACACATCAAGTCTGTCTGCAGGTTTTCTGTCCCACTGCCAGATGTGCCAGATGTGCTTATGCAAATGTTGCTTGGCTGGGTTCTTGTACGACTCCAGCTCACACAAGGAAGTAAAAGGTTTATTTGTTTTAGGTGAGAGAGACTGAACAGCTCTCGTTTTCTGGCATTTATTAACAGATTAAATTTGCTGGATGTTTTTGGGGGAAATATTTGAGGAATTATTAACTGCATATTTATGAATGATCTGTAAACAAATGATGTGATATCCAGAATAAACCCTTTGCAGAGTGAGTCACTGTCTTATCATTTTTCTGACCACGCTGAGTCACAAAGAAGCTGCAGGTCAGAATTCCCCAGAACCTCAGTCTCAGTGTGAAACTCATTTTGAACTATGAGAACACTGATTTCAAACCACAGAGATCGCATTTATCAAATCTGCTTAAAATATAACAAATCACTGCAGTTCTATATGGAGCCGAGCTAAGGTGGCCTGCTCTTCTTCTTCTCCTCATTTCCAGTCATATTCCTCCTGTTCCATGATGGATCTTCATATTAAACACGGTTTCTAGTAATGAGCTCAGTGCATGCTGGGTAATCCCTGTGAGCCTGAAGCTCAGGCCACTCTCAACATTCAGTTTCAGACACTTTTTCACCTTTAGGATGTGGATGATGTCATGGGAACCTCCTAATCTTGGTAATCTCAGGAACAGACGTCGTACCCAACCCACCACAAAAATTCTACAGCTGCCACCAAAGGCAGGCTGCAGTGTAAACGCTGTGTGCAGGTGTGAAACAGGTGGAGGGATACACCTGCTGCTGTCAGGCCTGCAGGTATCAGGCTGTGATGTGCCCCTCGCTCTTACAGTGGACAGAAACTATTTTTTGGAGAGGCGCAAATAATATGTGTGGCATCTTATTTGATGCAGAACACCTGATTGATAACTTTGTTGTTTGCAAAAGTTTTTAAAATGTACAAGTTTTATTTGCATTTCAAGTTATAAAAAGGATTAAATATGTTTGTTACAGTAACAATGTAACTTTTCCTTTGTCTGACAGCACAGTGTGTCAGTGCGAGAGGAACTAAATTAACTGAAAAGACTGACCCCAGATAAAGTGAGGCAAACAGTTTATGAAAACAGCTGGAGCCCAGAGCGTGGACTCAATACGTAGTCGTGAAAAATTCGGTTTGACGGATTTCTGACGTTTTGTGTAAATTTAAGCATGAAACAGTTTGATTGCTCCTAATAAAATATTAACAGTGTGAGACTTTAGTTAGACTTGTGTTTGTAGCTGATCACGTTGGGCCACATGCTTATTTGTTGTGTTTGCCGTACAGTGCACAAAATCTAAATTCACGTTTTGTGTAACTGTAACGTGGGCTGAAGCCAATCCGAACATTACAGTGTGTGTTTATATGAAACATGTGTGTACTTGCTGTATTTTAACCACATGAATGACACATTACAGGAAGCAGCATTGATTTCCACCTTTTTCTAGATCCGCCCCTGGTTTGGGACATTTTTAACACACGTCCACCATGTTTGCTCCGTGCTGGTGTGTTTTTGGAGCACGAGGGCTCCGTGCGCCCCCGCCGGTGACCCCCCCCGCAGATTTCTCCCCTCAGCCGTTTCTCTTTAAAGTCTCCTCGCGTGCTCATATCAGTACTTTCACTTGTGTGCCGCACATGTGTTCATACTTGCCATGACAGCAGGACTGTCAGGCGCACAGAAGGTAAACTCACCGTGCGCGCGTTCACAGCGCACAAACCACCGAGAGAAGAAAAACCCGCTGACCTTCCGTCCCCGCGCACTCCGCTGTGCACTCACTGACCGGAACAGCCAGGCTGTTATTACACGGTTATTACACGTGTATTACGCGCTAACTAAAACTGTTTTAACGGAGTTACGTTCCGCCGCAGACACGGAGAAGCTCCTCGGAGAGCCTCAGATCGCGCTCTGCTCCCTCAGCTCCACATGTGCGCGCAGCTGTGCGCACATGTGGAGCTCAGAGCTGCAGCGAGGCGCACTCTGCCCGGCGACGTCGCATTCTTTCTCGTTCCTAACTCTCTCGGTAAGTCCTGGAGGGACGAACACCCCGCGCCCTCCCCGGGAAAATACTTACATAACCATGCACGCGTCTGCTTCTTGCACAGCGGGAACTTTGGAGGAAACACTCTGGTGCCGAGTCCGAGTCCGAACGAGGTTTTCACAGCCGCTGAAGTTGAGCGCAGATTGGAGTGTGAGCTCTAATCCTCAGGCAGCAGGAGGTGTTCACGATGTGGAAGCATGCTGCTGCGCATCAGCTCTCGCTCTCTCTCGCTCTCTCGCTCCCTCTCTCTCTTGGGCGGGGTGCAGGCGGAGGTGGAAGCTGATTGGTGGCTCGGAGTGATCAGGTCTTTCCCAGGTGAAATGAAATGGTTAACTCCCATTTTCTGTCGGCGAGGTAAAAGTGAGAGCAGGAACTATTATTGAGCCACAATAATTACCGACACGCTTCTCTCTCTCTCAGAGTGTGTTCTTAGTCAGCCTCGCTTTACCACATTGTCTGTGGCACTGAGTCAATCTTCAAGTAGTTTCATGCATTTTCTCAGTCATGATCTCAGCCTATCGCTCAAAGATTAAAAAACATCATCACTCTGTTTCAAATTCAAATTCAAATTCAAATT